TTTCTTCTTGTAGCAATCTGGATTGAATGGTTCCTTCTAGATAAACCCTTTTCATGACAGACACCCATGAACTTTGGGATAGAACCAAACTCCAAGTATTAAAATAATCATGTGATTTCTGCCCTGAATCTACTTACATATAGTGCTATTCTCATTAATTCACATATATTGAACCTTCCTTTCATCCCTGAAAGACACCAATTTGTATGATCTTTTTAATGCATTGTTAAATTCAGTCTGCAAGCATTTTTTAAAAGAGATTTTTGTATCTGCCTCCATCAGGGAAATTGGTCTATACTGTTTTTGTTGTTATTGTAACAATCCTATTGGTATCATAGGATTAATATGGTGTGTTGCTTCTGATTTTATGAAATTGTTTGAGATGTACTCTGCCAGCTCTTTTTTAAGGGTGGTGGAATTCAACAGGGAGCCCTCCTGTCCTAAGCGTTTCCATATTGGAGGACTGTTATTATTAAAGTGCTTTTGTTCATTACAGATCCCTTTAAATTGTTTATATCTACTTAATATAAATTTTACAGGTCAGAGGTATCTTTGAATGTATTCACTTCTTCTAAAATTTCCTACTCTTTGTATTTAGATTTTTCAAGTATTTTCCCCATGATCCTTTGGTGTCTGTTATATTGTCTCTCTTTTCATTTCATTTAATTGGTCTTCTCTTTCATTTGGCTAGTTTGGCTAAGGACTATTTGGTTTTTATCTTTTCAGAGGTCCAAAGTTTTATTGAATCCATTGTTCCTATTGTGCCTTTAGTTTCTGTTTCATTGATTTGTTTACTTCCTCTGGGTGTGGCTTGCACTTGTTTTCTAATGCTTGAGGTGAACCATTAGTCTAATTATTTAAGTTTTTTTCTTGAACACATTCTAAGCTGTAAACTTACTTCTTTTTTGTTGTTTTTCTATTAGATTTTTTCATTTGTTTTACAAACCAACCACAGTTTCTCCCCCATCCTCTCCTCCTGTTCTCTCTCCCACCTCCAGTCTACCCCCCCCATGTAGTCCTCCCCCATTATGGAAGGATTAGGCCTCCCATGGGTGTCAACAAAGCATGGTATATCAAGTTGAGGCAGGACCAAGCTCCTCACCCTGGGTGAGGCATCCCAGACAATCTGCCAGGGACAGAACAAGCTACACAGAGGGTAACAGAGGGCTTAAGTTGGTCCCTAGCTGTGGATTCAGAGTCTATGAGCTCCCACTAGCTCAGGTCAGCTGTCTCTGTGTTTTCCCCCCATAATGATCTTGATCCACCCTGGCTAGTACAGTTCCTCCACCCTCTCTTCAACAGACTCTTGGAGTTTGGCTCAGTGCTTGGCTGTGGATCTCTGCATCTGCTTTCATCAGTTACTGGACAAAGACTCTCTGATAACAACTAGGGTAGTAGTTATCAACCTGACCACAGGAGAAGGCCAGTTGAGGCACCTTGTCCACCACTGCTAGGAATCCTAGATGGGGTCATCCACATAGATCCCTGGCACCAGGTTTCTCCCAAAATGCCTCCCATCAAGATATCTCTTTCATTACTTTCACTCTCTGTCCTGCCCCTAACATGCCCAACATGATCTCTCATGTTCTCATCCCCTCATCCCCCCTAGTTTACCCAGAAGATCTCATCTATTTCCCCTTCCCAGGGAAATCCATGCATCCCTCTTAGGGTCCTGCTTGTTACCTAACTTTTCTGGGTCTGTGGATTGTAGCCTGGTTATCCTTTACTTTAAAGCTAATATTCACTTATGAGTGAATACTTACCATGTTTGTCTTTGTGGGTCTGGATTACCTCACACAGGATGATTTTTTCTCGTTCTATCCTGCAGATTTCATGATGTCATTGTTTTTTTCCCCACTGAGTAATACTCCATCATGTAAATATACCACATTTTCTTTATCCATTCTTCAACTGAGGGGCATCTAGGTTGTTTCCAGATTCTGACTACTATGAATAATGTTTCTATGAACATATTTGAGCAAGTGTCATTGTGGTATGTTTGGATATATGCCCAAGATTGGTATAGCTGGGTCTTGAGGTATATTGAGTCCCAAATTTCTGAGAAACCACCATACTGGTTTCCAAAGTGGCTGTGCAAGTTTATATTCACAGCAACAGTGGAGAAGTGTTCCCCTTATTCTACATCCACTCCAACATAGGCTGTCATTAGCATTTTTGATCTTAGATATTCTGACATCTTCAACAAATGATGCTGGCATAACTGGATGTTGGCATGTGGAAGACAGGTGGTGGTGGCGTACGCCTTTAATCCCGGCACTCAAGAGGCAGAAACAGGAGGATCTCTGTAAGTTTAAGACCAGCCTGGTCTACAAAAGCTGGTTCCAGGACAGCTCCAAAGCTACACAGAGAAACCCTGTCTTAAATCCCCCCAAAAAAGAACGCAAATAGATCCATATCTATCACTCTGCAAAAAATGCAAGTCCAAGTGGTTCAAAGGCCTCAACATAAATCCAATTAGACTGAACCTGATAGAAAAGAAAGTGGGAAGTAGCCTTGAATGCAGTGGCACAGGAGACAACTTCCTGAATAGAACACCAGAAGCACAGACACTGAGATTGACATTTATTAAATTGGACCTTGTGAAACTGAAAGCCTGAAGAATGGGAAAACATCTTCACCAATCCCACATCTGACAGAGGGATGATCTCCAAAACATATAGAGAATTCTAGAAACTAGACATAAAACAAACAAACAAACAAATAGTCCAATTAAAAATGGGGTACAGATTTAAACAGAGAATTCTCAACAAAAGAGTCTTAAATGGCTAGATATACTTAAAGAATTGTTCAACATCCTTAGCCACCGGGGAAATGCAAATCAAAACAATTCTAAGATACCATCTTAAACCTAGTTATTAAGCTTAACTCTCAAGATGGCACTTGACCACTGATCTCTATCTAAGATACTGGGTGTGGCAAAATGGAATCCCTCTGCACAGGAAACCCTCCTGTGTCCAGGCCTGTGTTGACTGTTGAATTGTCCCATGGCTAGGACCATCAGTCACTTTTCAGTTGCTTATCTTTTGGATGCAGCATCAGCTCCATCAGAGAGCCACATTTTAGCCGTGTGCTGCCTGTCCTTCGCATTGTCTTCTGCCGTTTCTCCCTACTTATTGCCTTTCCCATTATATTCCTTATGCTAGCGAGTCTCCCGTCTCTGTTTGCAATGCCATTCGACTCTTCTCATTCATTGCATGCATGGCATAAGCTTCTAACCTGATGTGTTACCCTGGGAACTTCAAGCCATTCATGTTAAGTCTAATTTTTAATGTAATATTGTTATTTATTCTTTGAGAATTTCACACATGCACACAATGTCTTTTGATTACATTCTCCTTCCCTTCAACTCTTCCTGGATTCCACCCCTATCCCCACCCCAGAATAGTCATTTTTATTGGGTACTTTCCAACTTTCAGCTTTTGATGATTTTTAGCCAATAAATTCTGGGTGAAATGGATTGGGAACATAAAAATGTATTTCTTTCAAACATCACCTGGTACACTAATTTGAGAATATTTTACTTTTCAGACTGGTAGGTTATGAAGTTTTGAAAAACCCTTAAGGAGTTTATCAACTGAGCAAGTTTGCCTCCATGCAGGCACCGCCCTTGTGTGTCCCGCTGTCTTTCTTCAGGCACTGCCCGTGTTAGTTCCCCTGCCTTTGTTCAGAAGCAAACAGGCTTTTGATTGATGAGCTGAGTCTTGCTCTTGAGACTCAGAAGTCTCATATACCATGTCCATACCTGCCTACTCTTCTCTACTGTGCCTACAACACACGCTAGGGCTCTCTACTGTTGCTGCTGAAACAATGGCGCTTACGTACAAGCTGGATTCGTTGGCAGTGCTTTCCCTGCTGGGTTTAATTTGGCGACTGCTCTAGAATTACTAACTTCTGAATTTATATAACCATACTAAATCAGATTTGCTGCATGTATTGCATTACATTGAGAGATTTGTGGCCGTATTTTCCATTTGTCGGAGGAAAAGGTTTGCTGATATATAAGTAGTTGAACAACAAACTCTGCCAAATGTCTTCTAGGTTGGTAAGAGTCCTTATTCTGTGTTACAGAACTGAAGAGTTTTGTCTAGAGATGAAAGCCAGCCTCGCTGTGTCACTCCACAGGAGTGATATATTACTGGCAAATGGAGAGGTTACTGGAAGCTGTGGTGTGTCACTGTGACAACTCACCACTGTCAAAAATAAGAAATACCTTGGACACCCTCCTATCAAAAAGAAAGCAAATTCAGGAGGATCTGGTGTGGCTTCATACTAGAAAATAGTGGCTTAGAATAGCAAAACAGGTAAATACTTGCCCAAAGGATTTCCTTTAGGGATGCAAGGACCTCTGTGTATAGCAGGATTCTAATTCCCTGGAAGTCTGGATTCCTATGTGTGTAATCAATTCTGATTACAAATCAAATCTAGGTACAGATTTTTACAGATTTTCTTGCATCAATTACATGTATGTATTTATAAATACATACATGTCATTATAAGGTGTGTGTGTGTGTGTGTGTGTGTGTGTGTGTGTGTGTGTGTGTGTGTGTTGCTAAAGACTGAACCCAGGGAAAGACACGGGCTCTACCCCACAGTCATACCCCTAGCCCTCATTTATAGTTAGCCACTCTATCTAGCAGATCTATGAGGTCTGCAGAGTGGAGTGCAAATGCAAATGCTTAAAGATATCCCTAAAATCAGCTGCCCTACATAACAACCTGTACTTAGAAGCCTGCAATTTATTCTTAATCAACTACGCTGAGCTGAATTAATCTGACCTGTTTTTATATTCTCCGAAATAAAATGGATAAGGATGCATTCTTCCCCTTCGCAGCAGAGTTGACTATTCAAACTTTGCTAGGTTCTTATTCTTTATCTCAACATAACATTGTATTTCTTTTCATCACTTGATTTGCAGGAGGGTGGAGCTTCTTGGGGTTGGGAAAGTTTCAAGGCTGTGACAGTAGGCAGAACGTCCAACTCACGCTATTTATTGAAGGTGCAGATGCTGTTACTCATGGCAGAGTGAACTGAGCATCAATCAGAAAAAGTTTTCAGACCACAAGCCCAAGGGAGCCAGGATGGGCACTGCTGGAAAAGTAAGGGAACTATTACGGCTTTCTTATTCTCTAATGAGCTAATAATAGAGGCTGCTCCTGAGAACTTTGAATCCAGTAGAGTAACTAAATACACAAGGCTGTCTGTTGAAGACGGCAAGGCTGCTGTGTGACCCACATAGGGGAAACGTGGGTCAATTACAACAGAACGCCAATAGCAAGCAGCAGGATTTGATTGAAAACCACATGGGGAAGGTTCTTCTAGAAGGCAGTGAAGGAAAAAAGAGAATTGTGGTTTATATGGACATTATTCATAATTTAATTTCAGATTAGTCAGACACTTGCTCTAGAGAGCAAACTGTTTCCATGAGGAGACTTCAATAGGGTCAATAGTGTGTACTCAATTCATTTCAATAGGGTCAATAGTGTATACGCAATTCATTTCTGGAATCTAATTGGTCCACGTCTCCCATGCAGCTTGCAGGTGTGGAGGGGGTGGGGGATGTGGCCTATTGTTAAGAATGGAAAAATGCTAATTATGGAATGCAAAGCCAGCAACAAAAGAATCATACTTTTCAAGTTTCAGAGGGCATGTTTTGTAGCAAATGTAAGAGTAGGCCTTCTTAGAAATCGAACTATGCTGTAGACAGAGCATGTTTATTCCTTCCGAAGGTAACAGAGCCTAAAGGGTGACAGTAATTTAAGAAATAATACTGTTTTTATTTTTTTCTCGCTTGAAGATTGGGATGTCAGACACTTATGTTTATATTACTTTTAAACAACTTTGCATTTAGTCTACCTTAAAATTTTAGGAAGGTGAAGATGCTGTTAAAAGTCTCAGTAACACTAGTGTCTCTGAGGCGGCACAGGAGTGCTAGAATCTGAAAGACATTTCCCCCCCAGAACTGGAGAGAGAGAGAGAGAGAGAGAGAGAGAGAGAGAGAGAGAGAGAGAGAGAGAGAGAGAGAGAGAATGAAAACTTCTTAGTTTGAGCCAGAAATCCTGTGAAAAACTGATAATCAGGAGAATTAGTCTTGCACTATGGAAGTTAGTAACTCTTCATAGAGATAAATGGAACTTAAGAGTTGAAATGAATCTTAAAATATTCATAACTCCATACAACCTGCTCTGTGGCCTTTATCATGGGAATGTGCAGCACTATCAGAGCATCCCCAGTCATGAAGAATTCAGGGCCTCCAGGCAGCATCTCCTAACTATAGCTAAGAAAACATCACATAAAATAAACAGCACAACAGGTTTGAATCTTCACCTGATGATGTTATACAGTAGGGTGGTTCACAGGGGCTTATATGCTCCACAAAACAGTTCCAGTGTCTTAATGTAGCCCAGAAAGAGGCTCTGTTATGTCATCACTCCTCTGTTAATTTTTTGCTGTTTCATTTTTAAAAGATGATTACATTACTTTGCTAAAGACGCCATAACCAAGTACCAGGGACTGTGTGTCTTGAAGAAGAGAGCTTTGTCTCCTCAGGCATCTGGAAGCTGGGATCCTGAGGACAGACTGTTGAGAACACGGCTTCTTCGGAAGCCTTGCTTAGGAGGTGCTCTTCTTGCCATCTCTACACGGCTTCCCCTCACTATATATTAAAAAACCCTGCTGGACTGGACTAACTTTAGTGACCACATCTTAACTCGGTTACAATGCGAAAGATCCCATCTCCAAGCACGGCACCATCACGTTCTGAGGCACTGAGCGTTAGGGCTTCAATGCACGAATTTGGAGACTTTATTACAATGCCTATCATAGAGAATTTAGAGAAACAGAATTTGTATGGGGGGGTGGGGAACCCAAGCATGTTCTTACATTCCCAAACGACTACTGAGTTTGTTTTTGCCTGATTTTGTATCATCTATGCATTCTCCAACTATATTTTATGTGGCTATATTCATATAAGATACGAATATCTCTAACCCATTTTTCCAATTTAACAATCAGCTTTCAACATCTTACACTGATTTCTGCATTTAACAGTTTCCTCCATTATTTTTTACAGATTTCCCTTAGAGTCCTAAGATAACCTCTAAAGCATATTAAGATGTTTCTGCACTTTCTTCTCCCCTGAGGCTGATTGTATAATGGAATTATAGGGTAAAGGTGTCAATACATGTTTATGTATCATGATGTACTGAGAAAATTATCTTCCAGAAAGGTGACCCTGCATAGGATTGCCCATTCTATTGCTTGAACAAAATTGGGTGTTCTTATTAAGTGCAAATTCACTGTAAACTTGATAAATGTAGAATTATAGCTTGTCATTTCTAGTCTCTTGAAAATATTCTTAAGAGCAAGAAGAGTAAATATGCCACAGTATATTAATTTGTATTTTCCCGATGGAGTCCTCTATACACATCTCCTGGAACAGAGGACTAGCTCAGAGGTCAGAGCAGTGATTGGAGATCTTGACACTTTCTTTATGTATCTGATTAAGCTTTCTGTGTGTCCATTTTTCTTCAAGTATCCTCTCTCAGAACATCTCTGTGTTCTACTTGGAAAAGCTGTTGTCTCAGCATAAAATATTTTCAGAACACACATTCCTATATCCCCAGCACTCAGATGGCTGAGGCAGAAGGGTTGTTGAGTTCAGGGCTAGCCTGAAGCCTCAGCTGCATAGCAGGATGAGATGTTGGGGAATTGCCTCGGATAAGCTATTGTTTCCTTTATGACTTTTCCCCGTCATTGCTAAATATAAAAGTTACTTCATGCTCTCTGTCACTGCCATTAATGTGATGTGACGGTTCTAGTTTAGTCTTGGCCAGATTATACTGTGACTGAAAATACTTTCCTTAGCTAGACAATGGGTACATGTTAAATGAGACACTGATGGCTTTCTGTCATTCATCTGTCTCTAGCATAATGTTTTCCATATTTAATCTAAAGGAGTTTGCATGATTTAGTAAATAGTTGAGGTGTAGTTTGTGTTGTATACTAGGCTTTTTCTTTGGGGCCACCAACCGGCTCCGAAGCTTAGGTTTCTCCTTCTATTTATTCTCTCTGCCTGGCAGCCCAACCCACTCTTTCTCCTGCCTATCTATTGACCATTCAGCTTTTTATTAGACCCATCAGGTACCTTAGGCAGGAAAGGTGAAAGAAATGCAACACATCTTTATATAATTAAACACACATCCTTAAACCATTATCAAATGCAGCATAAATAAATGTAATACATTTTTACACAGTTAAGGTAATATTCTGTATCATAAACAAATGTAAAGCATGTTTGTCTAGTCAAAATAATATTGAACAACAGTGTTGAATCATAATAATAAATGGAAATTTTAGATTTTATTTGAATCTATGTGTCTATTCTCTCCCTTTCTCCCCTTCTCTTTGCCTCCTCTCTCTGTCTCTGTCTCTGTCTCTGTTTCTCTCTCTCTCTCTCTCTCTCTCTCTCTCTCTCTCTCTGTGTGTGTTTACATACATGTATGTGAATATAGGTGTCTGCATGCCATGGCTCCCATGTGGAAGTCAGAAGACAACCTTGGGTATCTCTGTCCTCTGCTTCTACCTTTGTTCAAAGCATGGTTTCTTGTGCCTGCTGTATATCCAGGCTAGGTGGTCAGCAAACTTAAATTCTCTCTCTCTCTCTCTTTCACTAGAATTTTATATACCGTTACCAAAACCTGTTAGCTGATTAGTTCTAGCAAAACCATGTGAGTGCCTGGTGGTGGGTTGCTGGGTGTATCCTACTTGTACAAGGTAAGAAGCTCTGACTTGGGTTAAGTGTAAAAAGGGATGGAGATGTGAAGATACGGGTCACACCCCAGAGGCACAGTCACAATCCACACGCTTTACGATGGTAACAAACAGATTCGTTTCTGTCTCAGATTCTATTTCTGCGAATTGATATCACGACCACAGCAACTCTTACAAAGGAGAACTTCTACTGGGGGGCGGTAGGGTTTACAATTTCAGAAGTTTAATCTGTTATCTTCATGGCAGACACGGCAATGTGCAGGCAGATATAGTGCCGGAGAAGCTGTTGAGAGTTCTACGTCTTGATCCCTGGACAGCAGGAATCATTTATGTGCCATACTGAGAGGAGCTTGAGCATTGGAGACCTCAAAGCCCATCCCCCACAGTTATACATTTCCTCCAACAAGGCCATATCTCCTACAACAAAGTTACACCTCCTAATAATGCCACTCTCTTTGGGGGACCATTTTATTTCAAACCATCACATTCCACTTTCTGGCCCCAAAGACTTATAACCATATCACAATGCAAAAGTGTATTCAGTCCAACTTCAGGAGTCCCCATAGTCTGTAAGTCCTAAATTTATTTAAAAATCTAACATTCAGAGTCTCTTTTGATACTCACATAATTTCTTAATTGTAATCACCTATAAAATCAAATTTAAAAAGTATACACATAATTCCAATATATGATGGCACAAGATATAGATTACTATTCCAAAACGCAGGGAAGGGAGAATAGTGAGGAAATGCTGGACCAAAGCATCTCCATGTCTGATGTCAAAACACTTCAGATTTCCAACTCCTTTCAGCTTTGTTGACTGCAACACACTTCTTTCTCTTGGGCTGGTTCTACTTCCTGTTATCAGCTCTCCTCAGCAGATATCCCATGGCTCTGGCATCTCCAACACCTTGGACTCTGCAAGGCAATCCAGGCTTCAACCTCACAGCTTTACACAATGGCCTGTTTGGGTCTCCATGCAGGGACACCCCTGCCACACATCTGATCTCTACAGCTTTCCTTAGCCATGGAGGAAGAGTCTATAACCCCTTTCTTCTATCATTGACTCTAAAGCTAGAACCAGGATGCTGAAGTTGACAAGTTTTGCTGCTTGGTAGGGCTGAGACATGGCCCCCTTGTTCAATGACATATTTACCAACTTTCTGTTTTCCACGGTTTCCTTCACTGCCTAATCTTGGGGCTATCCTGGAACTTTGTCAACTAGGCTGGCCCTAAACTTAGAGACCTGCTTGCTTAAGTCTTCAGAGTGCTGGGATTAAAGGCATGCACCATCCAGCCAGCACTAACTTTTTCTTTAATTTCTTTTCACAAATTGGAAACGTAACTGTGTGGGATCTTGCCCTGATGTCACAACATCCTTTATTTCATTTCTTAATCCGTTTATATCCTTGAACACAGGACTTAGTTCCATTTCACTTCCTGGGGCTCCTTTTCTCCTCAAATTGTATATTTTGCATTTTTCCTTTCTCAGCATGCACCTTTTCATTATAAATCTTCATTAGATTTAAAATTAGTAACAACTCAATGGAGTATATACTAGGCTGTCTTGAGAATGTCTTGGTCAATACAATTAATCCAAAAATTTTCACTTTGGCCTCAGGAAGACTTTTCAGAGAAGGGTAAAAAGCAGCTACATTAATCAACAAAATACCACAAGAATGATATCTAGGCAACATACTAAAATTCTTCACCTCTGAAACCTCTTGAGCCAGGCTCCCACAATTCAAATTACCCTTAGCACCACTGTCTTCCATGCTTGTACTTTTATGGCTCATTAAACAGTGATTAAAGTAGTGTCCCACTGCTTTCCTAACTCAAATTCCCAAAGTCCACACTCCTCCAAATAAAAACATGGTCAGGCCCATCACAACAATACTCTAGTCCTTGGTACCAACTTCTGTTTTAATTAGAGTTTCTATTGCTGTGAAGAAAATACCATGACCATAAAAATTCTTACAAAGAAAAACATTTCATTGGGTGTAGGGAGACTTACAATTTCAGAGGTTTAGTCTATTATCTTCATGGCAGGACATGACAATGAGCAGGCAGACATAGTGCTGGAGAAGGAGCTGAGAATTCTACCTCTTGATTCACAAGGTAGCAACTATGTGCCAAACTGAGAGTAGCTTGAGCATAGGAGACCTCAAAGCCTACCCCCACAGTGATACACTTCCTCCAACAAGGCCACACCCACTCCAACCAGTAGTGCCACTCCCTTTGGAGGCCATTTTCTTTCAAGTTATCACAAAGTCTTATGACATGAGTTGTCTCATTGCTTCACCATTGCTGAGTGGACTAGATGTAATTAAAGACCGGATTAAATTCTTCTTTTTTTTTTTTTTTGGTTTTTACGAGACAGGGTTTCTCTGTATTGTTTTGGAGGCTGTCGGTCCAGCCCGGCCTCGAACTCACAGAGATCTGCCTGCCTCTGCCTCCCGAGTGCTGGGATTAAAGGCGTGTGCCACCACCGGGCGGCTCGGATTAAATTTTTACAGATCATCAGTGTTCTCTTTTTTCCAGACTTGTCCTTCATTAATAAGCAATGCAGATGACAGTTGCATCCATCTATCACGTTTCAAACCATACTAGTAGACTACTGGACTATTGTGTGAATTTCAGCCCTGACCTTATGTGATGTGTGTCCTGTGTCTTTCATTCCATGTCTCAGGCTGTGACACCAGATAAGGTCCACACAAGATAATCCATAAGGCTTCAAATTCTGTCACTGAAGGAAAGCATCTGTGATATTTCTATGACTCACGGAGTCTGTGTTACGATTAACACCTGTTATGACTCTTGGCTTCTTAGGTTATTAAGTGCAAAGCAGCTGTACTATGGGGAATAAACCAGGCTTTCTCCATCGAGGACATAGAAGTGGCCCCGCCAAAGGCGAAGGAAGTTCGTGTTAAGGTAAGAAAGGGGCTTGGAACACATAAACCCAAAAGGCGATCTCATTTATGCTGAGAAAGACATTGTTGTGAGGCTGGCTTCCTTCTAAAATGTTATGTATTTATTATTTTATGTGAGGGGGGTGTTTGTCTATGTGTATGTCTATGTATCACATGCGCTTGGTGCTAGAGAAGGCCAGAAGAGGGTGTTGGATCCCCTGGAACTGGAGTTACAAACATGCAGTTGTGAGATGCCGTGTGGGTGCTGGGAATCAAACCAGAGTCCTCTGGAAGAGCAGCCACTGCTCTTAACTGACTGCTGAGCCATCTCTCTAGCCCGGAGGTTAGCTTCTTAAAAAATGTTTGCCAGCGAATTCTCCAACCAATTTATACCTGTTGTTAGGGAAGTGGACATGTTGGCTGTGGAATTCACCAGTTTTTTGTCCATTAAGAATAACAATGCCAATAGGTCTTATTATTTGTTGAACTTTTACTGGTATAGTGTTTGACTGAAAATGACCAATACCATGACTGAGAATTATCTTAAAATCTGGTGTGAGTCACTATATATATATATATATATATATATATATATATATATGCGGGGGCACAGGGAACAGAACCTTGGGCATCATGCATGCCAGGCAAACATTCTGCCAAGGAACTATATCTCTAGCTATGTGTTCACCTCCTGCTTGGAGACAGGGTCTCACTAAGTAGCATGGGCTGACCTTGAACTGACTTTGTAGCCTGAATAAGATATGAACTTTGTGATAATCCTCTTGCCTGTGTCTCCCAAATAGATGGGACTACAGGCCTGTTTCACCAGGGCCATCCAGAGGACTTTCATTAGGGACTGGTTTGTGACTGAGAAGCAATACTTTCCTGTACCGCCCCCCACTTTGGGACAGCCCTCCTTCATTATCATTGGTTTAGATGCCCCTGTTGAGCAGGCTTTGATGCTAGTCTGACCTCTTCACTGTAGAACAAGATCCAAGAAGGAAGGGAAACAGCAATGCTGTACATCCCTGAAATAAGGGAACTTGGCCTGATGCTTGATTTAGGCTCAAACTAGCATCAACACTATAATTTGAGAAAAAGATGCAGAGTTTAAGGGAGCAAATTAAATGTCATCCCATTGTAAAATGATCTGTTTGCTGGTAATGCAATGTTTATTGTTGTTGTTGCTGTTTTTAACAGATTTTGGCCACAGGAATCTGTCGCACAGATGACCATGTGATAAAAGGAGCGATAGTATCTAAGTTTCCAGTGATTGTGGGACATGAAGCAGTTGGGGTTGTAGAGAGTGTTGGAGAAGGGGTCACTACAGTGAAACCAGGTATGGGGGCCTTGGTTATTCTATTGAAAGAGACAGCATCTTCACTGGGTATTAGTAGAGAGTTGGAGAGAGAGAGAGAGAGTTGAGAGACACAAGGAGAGTAGATTGTACTGAGTAAGGTCAACTTGTCAAATCTCACTCTTCAATGCCACTTTGTGGTACTTATAATCCTTAGAATATTTTAAAGACATTTTGTGTATAATGTAGGTCAATTCATATCTATTTCATCTGTCAATTAATTAATTAATTGGTTCTTGAGTCAACGGTCTTAATGTTTCCAAGGCTGGTCGAAAACTCACTGCACAGCTCAGTCTGGCCTGGCCGTTTTCCTGTAGCAGTCAGCACTGTGCTAGGATTATAGGCACGAGCCACCAAACCATCTTACTCCATATTTTAATGCAAATGAATGATGTCTTACATCATGCTACTTTCCTTCTAGGTGACAAGGTCATCCCCCTCTTTCTACCACAGTGCAGAGAATGCAGTGCCTGTTGTAACCCAGAGGGCAATCTCTGCATTAGGAGCGAGTAGGTGTTATTTTTCACTCTGTCATTTTGAGTCTCCCATGATAGTTTCTGACCTGAATTAAGCAATGTGTGCATTTGATGTGTCCAACAGTCTGACGGGTCGTGGAGTACTGGCCGATGGCACAACCAGATTCACGTGCAAGGGCAAACCGGTCCAGCATTTCATGAACACTAGCACCTTCACGGAGTACACGGTACTAGATGAGTCATCCGTAGCTAAGATCGACGGAGCAGCTGCTCCAGAGAAAGCCTGCCTCATTGGCTGTGGGTTTTCCACGGGCTACGGGGCTGCTGTTAAAACCGCCAAGGTAAGAATCAGGGCTGACTTGCGTAGCTTCTGCCTTCCTGCCTGTCTGTCTTCCATCGGGTGGTTTTCTTAGGACACGAAAGTAATCGGAAAACAAGACACTGAAGAAAATGCACGGTGCCAGATGAACTGGAAGAAAAGGCAGAGGCAGGGATCAAAGTAGACATTTCATTTCTAAATACATGGAGCTACAATTTCTGGATTTACTTTCTGTTTCTGTAGCATCTCCTTCAGGTTAAATCACTGAAGTCTGTAGTCAGTCCTAGAACGAATCTCTCTTTTCCCACCGAACGCTATTGGTGCTGGTATGTTCGTTTGCTCCAAAGACTGTAGCCAAGTACTGAAGACTGGCTGGCTTAAGCAACAGAGGTTTATTGTCAGAGTCCTGAAGATCGGAAGTCCACAGTCAAAGTGCTGGCGGGATTGCTTCCTTCTGAGGGCTGCTTGGGGAGGACCTGCTTCAGGCTTCTCTTGCCACATCCATGGCCGTCAACCTTCCAGGTTTTTCATATCATCTTCCCTACTGCATCTTTATACTTAAATTTCAATAAAAAAAATAAGTACACCAGTTACATTGGACTAGGGATGTGCTAGTCAGTTTTATGTTGCTATGACAACAGACCTGAACAGGGTATGTGAACAGAAAGCAGACTTATTTGGTTCACAGTTTTGAAGACCAGAAGTTCTAGCTCACATGTAGTCATCCTCTGGCTAGGGACCCCTCCAGCTTCCTAACAGCGTAGAAAACCAAGACGGGACGGCAGTGTGTACCAGAGGCACCATGCCACCCCACACAGCCCACTCTCCAGGGAACCAACCAAGATCCCCCAAGAATCAATCTCTGCTGAGGCCAGCGCCTTCAAGGACAGACTCACACCTCATTAGGCCACACAGGTTTCACAGCCACATACATGGTAGCACAGGGCACCAAGTCCCCAACACACAGCCCATGAGAGACAGATAGCTCTAACTACATGGAAACCACAGGGAGGCTTTTCCTAATGACCTTGATGACCTCTGCAAAGACACTCTCCAAATAAGGCCAGGTGTTGAGTACGGAAGGTTCACATTTCCACACATGGGTTAGAGGACACAGGGAAGACCAGAACAGCTGCCATGTAACACAAAAGCCTGGTGAGTGTCTAAGTGATCATTTGGATTCAGTCTTGGTTAGCCTTCTAGCAGGAAAGTGACTATGGGTGAATCCTTCTTTAATCTAGCATAGTACTAGATTTAAGTAGGGCTCCTTCCTTAAGCTATCTGTCAACCACTCAAGTGCATGTGACATGGAGGTTGGACTTGGCTGGGAAAAAAAAAGACAACATGTTTCCAAATGACTGAGAGTCATGGTTGTTCAGACACTGCCAGCAGACCAAACCTCAAACAAATCAGCATGGCTTTGTGAAAGACAATAGAGAGTGTGTGGACCTTGTCTAACCCTCCTGCGAGAGTGGAGGGGGTTGTGGATAGGCTGCCAGCCTACGGTAAGCCTTTAGGAAGGGCTGATGTTTATCTGGCAAATACTGCCTTTGCTTTGGCAAGTTCTTTTTTTCTCAGGCATTCTTCTCTTTTTAATTCTTTTTGTGCCATTGTCATCTGAATAAGTCACCTGGAGTCCTGGTCCAAGTCATGGCAATCCTTTGAATTTTGTGTTTCTGACACTGAGAGTACTTGGCAGGTTTCGCCATTAACTCCTGGAGGAACTTTCCTCTCCACAGGTCACCCCTGGCTCCACTTGTGTTGTGTTTGGCCTGGGAGGAGTTGGCCTATCTGTCATCATGGGCTGTAAGGCAGCTGGAGCCTCCAGGATCATTGGAATTGACATCAACAAGGACAAATTCCAGAAGGCCCTGGCTGTAGGTGCCACAGAGTGTATCAGTCCCAAGGACTCCACCAAGCCCATCAGTGAGGTGCTGTCAGACATGACTGGGAACACCGTGCAGTACACGTTTGAAGTTATTGGGCGTCTTGAAACCATGGTAAGACTCAAGTTTCAAGGAGTCACAAAATACCCAAGCTACAAGATGCATTCAGGCTAAAGGTCATTTTGCATAGCTTTATTAACAATCAACTATGGAAATATCCTTGACTCAGGCCAAAGAACAGGACTGGTGAGATGGCTCAGTGAGCAAAAGGGCTTGTCTCCAAAACCCATGACCTGAGTTTGATTCCCAATACTTAGATGTAGAAAAGAAAACCAACTCTCCCAAGTTCATTCTCTGATGTCCACACACACTCCATGGCATGTACTCACCTATGCTTCTGCCCACACACGAATAAATGCATAAAAATGCAATGGAAAGTGTAATGATAACCACATAGCAATTTTGCCTAAAAAGTCACAATCTAATGATCAGTTTTACCTGACCGTGTGAGTATCGTGTCATTCCATTTTCATGTAATTAGAGGGCAAGGAGTCAACCTGTGGCCCATAACCTCCCTTGTATACATGGAGGAGGTCTTGGCAAAAGTGATTCCATTTCTTGAATTTGTTTTGTGATGGGAATTAAAGAGAGCTAAGGAGGCGATGATAGGGAAAGGGATTGTTGTATACATGACACCTTCCTTCAAACCCTTCCTTGTGTCACTGAGCTCGGCTGTCCTGCCTCCTCGGTGGCACCCCTGAGGCCTCCTCTGTCGGTGGCACCTTGGTGGCAGACTTTACAGAAAGCCCAGGCCTCGGGTAGAATTAGGAGTCCTGGAAACCTGGACAAAACCAGTTTTGCTCACAATTGCTTAACAGGTGAAATTTGCTCTAAGGTATTTGGTAATTAAGAAGAAACACTCAGTCTGTCATCCCTGTCACATCCCCTTTACGGTGTCACCTAGGATTTTTTCCATAGCATCTATCGCGCTCTAGGTTGTACTTTCTACAGTCAAGAGCCAGACAGAAACATTATGAGGTCTGTTGATTCTGAGGTGGAACCTTGAGGAAGAGCTGTCTGAAGCAAACTGTCCGTTGTTGCAATCCCCTGAGTATTTAAATGGGTTATTAATGAATAACTGAAAGGGTGAATGACCAAAATTGTGGACCTAGCCTCAGAGATATTGCCAGGAGCAGAAACTCCTTGCCTCATGTTTTAGTATTTGTATTCAATTTTCAAATGAAGATTTCAAACATTCTTGATTAATTTGTCCAACGCAAATAACATAAGGCTTATCTGAAGGGCTGATGTTGGTGTGAAAGTATCACAAGGATTCCCTTGTGTTGTTAGTTCGTGAAGGTTGACAAAATGTACTAAAAAATATAACAATGACACTGGCCACAGTAAAGGCTACTTCACATCTTAAGAAGCATATTAAGGACTAAATTTGCATCGACAATTTTTAAATCCTAGGAGCCTAATTTTATTTAGTAGTTGGAAACCATGTTAACTACTGGAACTCCAACCACCTGTTGTCATTTCTGAGCCCGTGATCTCCAGAAGCAACAATCTCCTTATCTTAAACTCAGGTTGATGCCCTCTCGTCTTGCCATATGAACTATGGGACCAGTGTGGTGGTTGGTGCTCCTCCATCAGCCAAGATGCTCACGTACGACCCAATGCTGCTCTTCACTGGGAGGACGTGGAAGGGCTGTATCTTTGGAGGTGAGACAGCCAGCCCTCCAGACAGCAACTAGTAACTTTGTGTCTCCTGCCTACAGAGGGAGAGAGGCTTATGTTCTCATCTTCTCACCCTCGAAGTACTTTCTTCCAAGGGTGAGTGGTAAATGACCCCAAATGGAGCTGCAATAGCAATTACACAAAGGACATCTGTCTGTTCCTTAAGTGACATAGGGCTAGCACCAGTGAACACACTTTAGGTCAGTATCTTCAACTCCTGTGACCCAAAGGCCTGAGTAAAAGGCACCAGACATGTCTCCTCTGGGATGATTTCTGAGGTAGAAGTTCTGAGGGCATCCATTGTTCTCCACACACACAAAGAATACTCACTCATGAAAGAGAAGTTGCCCTACTCACGAAGACCTTGGCAAAAATTCTGTGCCCAGAGCCCAAATAAATGAATAGCTGGAATGCCATATCCCATGGGGCTAGTTCAGCTCCCTGCTAGAACAACCAAGAAACTGTGAGGATGAGGTCAGGATCACTCTTCTGTTGTAGGGAGGAGTTTAATCACAACTTCAATCCCTTCCTACAATGTCTCATTCTCTGGGACCTTCATGTAGCACTAGGAATTTAGTGTGAGAGAAGGATAACCTTTTGAGTACCTGCTGAGAGTATAAAGAGGAGAAAGTTGATCTTGAACAAGAGAAGTATGTAATTTGTTGGAAAATGCAAACAAAATATGAATGAAATAATATAATTAATGTTGCCATTGATATGATAAGATCCACTGTAAGAGGAGTCATTTTGCATTAATTATATATTGGAAGCTTCATGTAAGGCTGGGGAGATGGTTCAGGGGCAAAGTGCTTGCTGCACAAGTATAAGGATCCAAGTTCAGATCCCCAGACTACAGAAGGAGCAGTTGGGGGCTCATGGGAAGGTGGTGGAAATCAAGAATTGTCAAGTGACATTGACTGTTGGTATACCCCTTTCTTTTGTCATTTAGTGTTGATCCCATAGCGATAATGACACTCTTAGTTGTACATTTACAGAACAAAACCCAATGTTGGATATATTATTAGGTCTTCTGATTTTTAGATACTTTGAGGAGCACATGCCACAGATAGACTATAGCTCAAGGAAAGGTCTCACTGGAGACAGACACTTAAATGTTGTAAATAGTTTATTTAAAGTCCTTAGAATAGAGGAGATTACACCAAGAGAGACACAAAGAGGAGAAAGGTATGAGGACTAAGCCCTGGGCCACAGTAGAAGTCTGGAAGATGAGGAGGATTCAGTAAACACATTTTCCTAGCTGAAGTAGGATAATAATGAGTGAGGATGAAACAGGAGAGCAGAGTGAGGGACAGGGAGAAATCAACCACCAATGCTCCCCAGAGGACACATTAGTACAGGATTCATAGTCAACCGCTGTGCCCAAATGACGGCGGGAGTAACCTTGACTTGAGCTGAAATGGCAGTGTGCTTGTGTGTGAATCTATGAAGAGTGAGCTCACAAGAGAGTCAAAGGGACTGGGACCAGAAACAGTACATGGGAGACAGTTCTGTCTGTGGTTCTGTACCACGCAGAGATGTGGGGCAACTGGAAGGAGGCAGGAAGGAAGAAGGCTTTTGTTGGCCTTAGTTTCTTACGATAGGAGAAATACAGATCGTTTGTATGTTAGGAATGTCAATCATGCATAAGAGAAAGGACACACTATAATGCCATAAAATGTGAGGATTACTTAGTAGACTACCGAGAACAAGCTTTACCAAGTTTATTCACAGGTTGGAAGAGCAGAGATGACGTACCGAAACTGGTGACTGAGCTCCTGGAAGAGAAATTTGACCTGGACCAGTTGATCACCCACACCTTGCCCTTTAAAAACATCAATGAAGGATTTGAATTGCTTTGTTCAGGACAAAGGTATGTTTTCTTATGGTAACTTTTGACTTTTTCCCACAGGCTACTTTTAATGTTTAGTTTTTATAAGTATTTCCATTTCCTTCCCTTTTTTTTATTTTGGATTATTTAAGGTAGCCAGGGAACATAGCTACTCTCTTAGAATGTCAGCCCTGTATGAGCTCTTTGAAATCCCCTAGACTTTAGTTTTGCATGCCAGATGGATCTCATCAGCCATTTTAACATGATAAAGCTGCCAGAATTCTCAAGCAATACCATGCTTAACTTGTTTATCATTCCCAAAGCTGTTTTGCAACTGTGTTTGTTTTCTGAGTTTTTTTTTTTCTCAGATGTTATTCTTGCTGTATTCAGCTGTTGAAACTAAGGTTACAAAAGGCAAATAAGTAATATTTGGTCTCATGGGAGCAATGCCAGCGTGCACTCTGTTCCACACAGGTCAGGCTTCCCACCTAAAGCCCTATAAGCCAGGTAAACAGTGGGCGATTCTGTCATGCATTTGTCCCTCCTGAGCATTGGGCAAGGTGGAGTGTGAAGGAGTCAAAGGTCAGCTGCTTTTTTCCTATGGATTTCTGGGATCAGCCTATAAGGTCAAAATAGACAGCATTCATTGCTTCTGTAAGTATTGAGCATCAGTAGTGTGCAGTGGGTTTGGATTTGTCAGTAATAGGAACTAACATTTCATTTCGACACCCTGTCTATGCCTGATGCAGTCTACAGAATCCAAACATTGTGTACATATGTTTGAATTTGAATTTTTAATCAAGTAAACAGTGAATGCGTTTCTACCTAAAAAAAAAAGTCAAAATTCATTTATTTACATACACAAGACTAATATTTTAATATGGTTTGAAAAATAATTACTAGTTGTTTTCCAAATAAACAAAACTACGTGCAGAAACCTTAACTTCTACTGTCTCTCTAATGCAGTAACTTCCCAGATGACATTTGTAAACCTGAGCCCTTAAATTTCCATGACTTCCTATATAGGACCCCAGAGTGTTTCATTTACATCAATATCATCAAATCAATTTTTGCTTTTCTACACCTGAGCAGAGAACGACACTTGTTCTGCTTTAACAGAGCAGGAACCAGAGCACTGCACCTTCATCCTGGCTCCTGCCCCGTGTGTCCAAAAGATGCTGAGACCCGCAGACAGGACCCTCACACACTCACTCCTGCCCAATCCCTCTCCTCCAGTGTCTCTCCTCTTCCCTGCCCAAGGCCATCGTTTTGGCCCAGTCTGTTCATGGTTTCTCTGGACCTGCTGACAGTAACTTAGTGGGCCTTCTGCTTCCTGTTCTCCAATCCTAGCCAGTCCTTCACAAGCAGATGTATTCAGGCCATCCCCAAATATCAAAGTCCCACAGTGGTGTTATTACTGAATTACAGCCCACTTCCATTTATTAAGTAATCTAAGAACATAACACCTACTCTCCTGCAGGCCCTGACAAAACTCTGGGGGACACAAGAGAGGTAGGTCTTGCCTGCTTTTACCATCTCTTGGGCATCAAGACATCTATACCCTCTTGGATTATCTTTACTGTTCTCCCCAGGATGGCCTTAGTCCTGCTGCTGCAGGGCAAACTCTTTCATGTTACAATTGCGATTTCAGCAGACGCTTCCAGAGTTAATTCATTATCCACTCAGCTTCCCGCACCAGAGTGCACAGAAGGTGTGAACCTCAAACCCAGATGGCTTTCTCATAGAGCTTCTATCATATGATGGAAGGAATGTTTTTCTTCATATATATATATGAAGAAATACACACACACACGCACACACACACGACTAAACACTGTCATTTCCATTTCAGCATTCGGACTGTCCTGACATTTTGAGATCTAAGAGGTGGGTGTTCTGTGCTGGGTGACTGTAACCTGGAACCTTCTTCCTGGCCGTGCCCTCTGAGATCATGGGTCTGTCTCAGAAACACACACAGAAGTAAACTTGGTGAGGATATAGAAACTTTACAGGGTTTGATAAACCTTCATAATTTTAGTTTAGTAAGGTGCCAAGAGTTAGAAGGAAATTGAATAGTAGCATGAAGTATTTTAATTTGTGTTTTCTAAGGATATAAATCTATATCTTTTTACAAACATATACTTGGATTTCTATTTGTTAGAATAGGGAATGTTTGTAGAATTTTACATGGTTGTCAAAGTGACTTAAAGTAGACCTAGCGTGTAGAGATGCAGTAAACACGTTTATAGAGCAATACCCACCAAACACATTACAACTCCTCATTCTGTTTTTAACAGAAATGCTTTTAAAATGTGTTATAAATTAACTTGAATTATATTGTGAAATTGCACACATTATTTGATTAGATTAAGAAAAATTGGGAAACTTAAGGGAAGGGCACATTTTTCAATGATTAACTTTAAGAATTATCATTATATAACTTTGTGATATTCAAAAGGCACCACAGTGTCTGGGGCTATTTGTTAATATATGTTAATACCTTATAAAACAAAATGTTTAGAATAGCAATTAAATATGAACCATAGCTATAATCACATTGTGATATTTACCACAATATTCAGTTTAATAAAGTAGAATTACAAGTCCTTAAGTCCCTAGTTACATGGTAATAACAGCACTTAACGTGAAGATATTTTTGTTTTGCTGTAACTATACCAGTGTGTATTTATCATCTTCTGTCTATGGACATGTGCATACATACAATATGTATTAAAATTTCATTATGATATGTATCAGACTGGCCTAGTATGAAGCCTGGGATAACATCAAATGAGGGTTACCAACATGTATACCTGACTAGAAGTTCTTAATAAAATCAAAAGCTACATAAAATGATTTGTAGTGACAAGTCTGTTTGAAAGGGGCAGTTTTATTTAATTGTTGAAATTTTAATGATTGTAGAGTATTGGAGTATTTGTAGACAAATTGATCCATAAGAAAAAGAAGAACAGAAATAGCAGAAATGTGAGGTTTCCACATAAGGACATAGTGTAAGTTGGATAGGTTAGGTAACTATGAGCCAAATCCATAATTAATATTTTCCAGTAAAAAGGGACTGAACCCAAGGGGCAAACATGCTCCTTTCTGTGTGAGAATCCTTCCGAACTCATTTTGGGAGTCCCATGTTGTTCTGATGGCAAAAATACACAAGGACACACACACACACACACACACACACACACACTGAAACTGCCTAACAACAATATGCCTAACACCACAGAAGAAAAATAAAATCTCAGTGAGGCACCAGAGAGCCCAGTAGTTTAGTTACCTTACTTTGCAATTACACATTTGAAAAACCATAAAGATAGTGTTTTAACGTTCCTAGCACAAACTTCAGTGCAAGTGTTGGCAAAGAATCAAGGCTTATATAACAACCTGGCATGTGTCAAATGCAGTGTTATTCATCCAGTAAGACCTGTTGGAACACAAGCTTTCCCAAGCACAAAGTCATGCCAACGCTGTAGATTATGACTCCAGACCTCATGCAACGGGGATCAAGAAGCGTCGCCTCTAATGGAAGCCCTTGGCACCTAGTTCCTGTACCTACCCCGCCACCCCAGGCACACAGTCCCCAGTCCCAAAGGATCTGGTTACAATATGGACTCTTAAGCTTAGTTTCTTACTTTTAAAACTGAGATCAAGGATTATGTCCTCAGGGTTAATGACATGAGGGTTTGTGCCTTGTCTTACTGCATCTTGGTATACTACGTTTGGTTGGTATTCCTGTTCTTTTCTAAGGGAAATGGAAGAGCAAGGGGCCTGGAAGAGAGGGGAGGCTACGGGTGTGTGTGTTGGGGAAGGGGCTGCTGTCAGGATGTACTGTAGGAGAGGAGAATAAATAAAAAAAAAGAGTTAAACTTCTAATCCCTCATTTCTAATCTAGTGCCTTAGCCTTGGGATGAGAATCAGAAACAGGCTTTCCCAAGGCATCCATTGAGAGTTCCCAGAAGTGCTTGTCTAAATCCAAAAGAAATGCTCAAGAGGATTAGTGGGATGGAGGACTAAGTGTCCTGGACAAAATGACAAGCGTTCTGGGAGCCAGGGTGCTGTCCCTGTCTGGAGACCCCATTTCATTCCTGTTGTCCAGAGGGTGCTCGGCCTGGCGGAATCCCTTCCTAATTTGGACTCTTGTCCTTTCGGAAAGGCATGTAGCATGCGTATCATGCATGCCATGGCAGGGGTGTGTGGAGGTCAGAGGACAAGCTCTGCTGCCAGTCCCTGTTTCCCATCCTGTTTAAGACACGGTTCACAACAGGCCAGGTGACCTGTAACCGGGATTGTAGCCATGACTACCATACCCCGGTTCATGGTGGATTCTAGTGACCCGAACTCAGTTTCCCTCGCTGGCATGCAAAATGGTCTCCCAGCTGAGCCACCTCTGTAGCCCTGCTGACCCTTTGAAGAAAAAAGAAAAAAAATCAACTCGTTGTTAAAGCTAATTTCCCCACAAACAAGGCCCTGTCTTTCTTGAAGAACGCTGTCTCTCTTCTCTGTGTACAATTTCCTTCAAGTTGCTGGCCCACAAGGAATAGCTGATTGCTCTAATAGCAGACGGCATGGCCTCAGTGTCAGAGGATCAATTAGCCCATGGTTAGAACACTGGGGACTTTTACAGAGGCGGTGACACTAAGGACTTTTACAAGGGCAGGGGAGCTTGTTTCTCCAATTTCAGTGCTTTAGACAGTGTTTCCGAGAAGAGGGAGAGCCTAAAACAGAAGACAGCGAATGATCCCTTGTAACCCCCCACCCCCGGGATACCTCTAATGCACCACCCCTGAACTTTATCCAGTTTTCTCTCCTTTTCAAAATTGGCACACGTGAGGCATCACTGCGAGTCCATGCCCTGTACTTTGCCCTGAGGATAGCATGCCAGTGGGCCTCACCTGTGTGGGGTAACTCAAAAGCCTGTGGAAACAACAGTCTACATGATCAAGGGTAATTCAACGGAACCCTCCGGTCTCTCCATGGTTTCCTGTTTCCTCAAATGTGTGCCCCTAGCTAGCACTGCTCCTCACTCCCACTGCAAACTTGCACACCATGCAGATCTCCCATGGTCATCAGTCCCCTCTTCCCCGATGCCCTCTTCTCCCTGCACCACCTTTCACCCAGATTCCCGCCATCCAGCACCCCCCCCTCTTTTAGAATGGATTTGGACTAGGTAATCCAACTGCTCCTTGCTGTTGTTCTTAATAATACCCAAAGGGATTTTTTAAGAGCAAAAGAGGAGGCAAAACCAAACCCTTGCCAGCATCTTTTCCTCCTGAAGACTCATGGCCTGCCAGGGATAGGAGGTGACGATGGCGAGGAAGTGCCCTGGTCACTGCACTCCTGCTCTGCTTCAGCACCATTGATGTCTGCTCGTGTGGGAGTGGAAGGAACAGGATGCCTTGTGAAAGGGTAGCCGTAATGCCACCACAGGTGTGCAATGCCACCACAGGTGTGTAAGCCACCACAGGTGTGCAATGCTACCACAGGTGTGCAATGCCACCACAGGTGTGCAATGCCACCACAGGTGTGTACAGCCACCAGAGGTGTGCAAAGCCACCACAGCTGTGCAATGCCACCACAGGTGTGCAAAGCCACCACAGTGTGTACAGCCACCACAGGTGTGTAAGCCACCACAGGTGTACAATGCCACCACAGGTGTGCAAAGCCACCACAGGTGTGTATAGCCACCAGAGGTGTGTTCCGAGGCCAGGACTCACAGCCCTTCTCACTCTCCTCCCTGCTCTCGAGCACAAGCTCCTTATTAGTCTTTTCTAGTCTTTTGCTCTTTCCCCATGTAAGGCTAACTAACACAAAAGACCATGGCGTGAGTTAGTAAATTGTCCTGTGCAGTGGTAAGTTCCCTGAGGATCTGACTCTAGAGCCCCAATACAGACCCAAGCATAATTGTCTTAGTGCGTCAAGGATGGGCTAGCCCCCGAACCTCTAGGAAAGGGAACAGAAAACAGCAAAAAATCCAAAGTGGAGATCCGATGCCTTATGAGCAGAAGGAAAGTATATTAGAATGAAAACACTGGCCTTGACCAGAGCTGGGAGGTGAACACTCCCAGACACCTTCCCAAAGCAAAAGATCAGCCATAGCTGATCTCATGGAGTAGAACGCCCGTGGTGGGGGTGGAGGTGGGGGGTGCTGGAGAGATGGCTCGCCGGTTAAGAGTGAGTGTACAGTGTCTTGGATAGTTCAGTTCCCAGCACCCAGGCTGGGCGGTTCACAACTGCCCGTAACTCCAGCTCCAGGAAATTTGTTGCTCTCTTCTCATCTCCAAGAGGACCCAGACACATGGCAGAAACACATTCCTATACATACATCAAAAATAAAATCTTTTAAAACATGTGAAGAACTTCGTGTGCTGGGAATAATTAGAAGTCCCCTGCCAGCAGGAGACGGCTGTGTGGGGCACTCTATGTCAGACCCACTAGCTCACTGTCTTGGTGCCCGAGGATTCCCCTGTTGGTTTCAGTTGATGGTGTGTCTAACCAAATGCCTTTCTGTTTTCCTTCCTTCCTACCTTCCTTCCTTTCTCTGTCCTTCTTCCTTCCTTCCTCCCTCCCTCCTCCTCCTTCCTTCCTTTCTTCCTTCCTTTTTCCTTCCTCCTTCCCTCCTCCTTCTTTCTTTCTTTCTTTCTTTCTTTCTTTCTTTCTTTCTTTCTTTCTTTCTTTCTTTCTGCTGTTCACTCTTCCAGTCTTTCTTCCCTGATTGCTGTGCACTTGGTAAGCTCACGCCTTCATTCTCTGTCATCAGAGAGTTCAGGTTTACTTGCCATGGACTTTGTTCAACTTTATCCTTCATTATAGCTGAGGTTAGTAATACTTTGAGGGACATAATTTTTTCATGACACGGAGTCTCACATTATCTGGGCTAGCCTGGAACTCACTATGTTGTCATAGATGACCTCTGACTTCTGAGTCTCCTGTCTCCATCTCTGGAGTGCTGGGGTTACCGGTGGTTCGTGCGATGCTGGGAACCAGGATTTCGTGTATGCCAGGCAAGCAATCTGCTAACTCAGCCACTTCCCCATCCCCTATCATGGTATTAGATTTCTTGAGTTTTACAAAATAACTTAGTATTCACCAAAACCAAAGTCAACCCCCCCAGAACCATAGCTTGTGTGATTTACAGTTTGTGTAGTGCAGTGCTCACTCTTTTGGGAAATTGCTAATAACAGTATAAATTTTATCATCCTGTTATCTTCATCCACTTTAAGGTGCAGTAGGAACTTGGGGGAATGCCATGGGCTGCGTTTTGTCTCTTCCCTAAGATGGATCTCTCCAGCTGTGCCTAAACTAGGTATCTGAGAGGCAGCCACAGACTTTGCTTAGAACATCGTTCCTTTGCTTAGAGGCATTCACGGACTGCACTCTGGCGTTTTTTAGCAGAATTGGAGGCCCTTGTACCGGTTGGATAACCCCTCCGCACCACCCCAAATTCTCAAGGTGCTTTAACTTAGAGGCTTGTGGCTGATGCACTAGCCCCACTGGGGTATCTTCTTCCTGGGGCCCTTTCTGCAAGGCCTCCTCCTGTGATCCTTTCACCTTCCACCTGTCTTCACTAATCTCTGAGGATGCTGTGTGACGCAGCCTAGTCCTCTTTAGTGTGTCTACTTGGGCCCGTCACCCATGTACTCTGCAGAACTTGAGCGTGACTCTGTCATTGTGTGTACCCGGCCACTCTTTATTTTTATGTTTGTGTATCTGTTCCTTCGTGGGTCTATTCATCTATTACCAGCTGCTGGCATAAGAACGGACTCCTACAATCTCTGAAGTACCTGTAGACATGGAGCGGCTTCTTCTGCAGGATTTCTAAAAGACCAGAAGGTGGCAGTATGGAGCTGAGGGGGGGGGAAGCAAGCTGGCCAGCCATCTAGGAAGAACTACAGAACTGCTCTCTCTCTCTCTCTCTCTCAGTCCAGGATAAACTTACAGCTGAATTTTGTTTCTCTTTTCCAGTGGAATTTAGGAAAATGAAGCCGTAAAGGACCATTTTGTGCTCAACAGAAACACCACACCCTAAAGTACTGGACTAATGGGGCATCCTATGAAGCACACAGCCACCCATTTTGTTCATGTAGGTCCTGGAAACTGCTTCCCAAATGGTCTGTTCAGCCCATAAACCACTGTACAGCTACAGACAACTGCCCAGACTGAGGGCGTTACTGTGGGGAAATGCCTAATCCCTACTGGTACTCCACACCCTTCCCTCAGTGTGTTACATTTACTCTTGCTCAGTTCCAACCCCACACGCTCACACCAGGTTCTAATCCGTCTACACACCCCTCGCTTCCGGGTTCTACAGCGACCCAGTCTGAGCATGTGGCTTTGAGCTGGTCGATGCCTGGGCATCTGCTTCATGGGTTTTTTTTTTTCATTTTGTATTCTCATTGCCCACCAACACCTTCGCCATCGCCACCTCCCAGTGGGCTTCTCTGAGGACAGGTCAGAACCCGACTCTTGGTTAGGTAGCTGTCTACAGCCGTACCTAGCACGGCTGCCAGAGTAAACCAGAGTTCAAGAGAAAGTGGATGAGTGAGGTGTTTTCCATGTCTAGTCAAGGTCAGTCACCCTAACTGGGTGATAAAGGACCAGGGTCCTGTGATACAAGGACACTGTTGCTACCCCTAGGTCAAAGGGCAAGGGGAGAGAAGAGAATTGTCAACAACTGGCAAGTGTTAGAGCCATAAACGAGGGCCACCAACCAGGAGCAGAGGCCAAAGTGGGAGAGAATCGCCATGCCGGTCATTCACCAACAAAAGCCAAGTCTACTCCATGAAACCTGACTGGGTCTCCTTCAATGATGAGAAATAAGGTTGCGTTTCCAGGCATTGTTTCTGTAGTTGTCTGCCAGTTGTGAGAGACTCACCACAACCTCTCCTTTCACCCCACAAGAAGTTCAGGCCTTCAGGTCAACGTAACAAAATGGCCATTCTCCTCATGAGCATAAACACAGTGCATTTTCCCTCCAGTCTGGTCGGCAGACTCAACACTTGCTAGGGTGAGTTCAGGCTGCCCAGCCTAAAGCAGCGTTGATCTCTTCATTACCCTGGGAAGTGTAAGTGAGGAAAACACACAGGCTTGCCCTAAATTAGTTCACGGCCCCTCCTTTCTCAAGGCAGCTGAACAGACTCACTCTCGGAGCCCAAGAACCCATGGAGTAAGCGCGACAAGTTGACAAGCTCCGTTCTACAGGGCAATTAGAGTAAGTGTGAAGTCGGCAGTTCACCTCACTACCTCCCTCCTGGAATAGTACTGCCATCAGTGTAAGTCTGGACCTCCTGGAATAGTACTGCCATCAGTGTCAGACTAAGTCTGGGGTCTCGAGGAGACAGATGACAGGGTGAAAGACTCCGTTTTCTCACCCAGGACACACGCGCGCTATGGAAGGAGCCCTCCTGGGACCCTTACCCAGCAGGCACTGGTTTCACATCATCTCAGGCCACACCGCTCTCCACTGTATAGCATCATTCTGTTTCTTCAACTAGCACCCAGTTTCTTTCTCTGAAAAGTGGAGATGAGCAATCTTGTTGGAGCCTACCATACTGTCTGCGTGTGTGTGTGTGTGTGTGTGTGTTACACACCCGTGTACACATGTGGTCTCCAGAGGAGGATGTTAGACACTCCCCCTATCATTCATCAACTTAGTTTTTGAAGCAGGATCTCTCACTAACCCTGAAGGTGGCCGTTTTGTCTAGGCTGGATGGCCTGCAGGCTCCTACGATTTGATTTCTTTCTACTCTCAGTGCCGGGGTTATAGGCAGACGCGGCCACATGTGGCTTTTAGGTGTTTTCACAGCAAGCACCCCTATCTACGGAAACCTCCTCAGCCCCGGAACTTGACATATTTTTATGGCAATCGCTTTGAGCGATAGTTTTTAGGTAAGTATTTTATACGATACCTGTCAGGCTATGTTCAATTTTCAAATGTTTATAGCTAGTATAGGCTCCCTGTCAGTTAACATTGACCTTGAGGTCTATTTTGGATCTAGGACTTGCTGTTTTTTTCTCTTGAACCCATATCTGTGTCTTAGAGAAAGCCAAGAACAAAGTGATTTTTATCACTAACTGTTAATTCTCAAAGTACAGGGAAGCCTGTGAATGATTAGCTCAGCTTTCAGCTAACAAAGACTTAAAGATGCCAATCATGGCGACATATTTTGTTCTATTTCAGGGAGTATTCCCAAACTGAGGATTTGTGCCTCAGTTAGGAACCCTTTGCGGGGAAAGCACGAGTTCTCCCCGGGGGAACGGAGTGGATGTAGGGTTTCAGATACCCTTGCCAGCCTTCTTATGCTTTTCTGGAACAAAGTCACACTTCAGTAAAGGCGTGGTGAAAGGAATATTAAAAGCAGCACAGTGTTCTCAGTTAACTCGGACTCGCCGTGGGAAAGCAAAGGAGGCTTTGCTTTGGTCACAGTGGAGGGAAACTGTTGGCCTGTCTTGGCTCTTTGACCGCAGTTACTTAACCACACAGCAAAGGGACTGCAGTAGAATTCTGCAGGGGGTGTTTCCTTAGGGCTTTGCACAAGGCAAGCGAACTTGCCGTCTTCTACCAGACGGAATGTGGGTTTGGCTAAGAAAGGAGACATTTCTTATGACCAGAAGTTGGGATCTACGAAGGCAACGCCGTTTCTGAAAGGACAGTGACATGCGCCATGTGCTGTCGGCAGGCCATTGGGGCAATGGCTTCCTTCTTCTGTGAACCCCAAATGTCCCCTGGTGCCTCATTGTAGCATCCGGGAGAGAGGTGACGGCTGCAAACTCAGTGCTCACGCTCAGTGCTCACGCTCAGTGCTCATGCTCAGTGCTCACGCTCAGTGCTCACACTCAGTGCTCAGTATTCAGTGCGCAGTCTCAGTGCTGCTCATCCTCCATCTGAAGAGGGGGGATTTGGAGTGGGGCTCTTTAGGGATTCCCGGGACTGCTGCAGGGTAGAGTGAAGTTAGCGCTCAGTGAGGGAGCACTGGAAATGAGTCTACTTCTGGTTGATGCTGGCTGCTCCACCCACAGTCTGTCCAGTTGTCGCATATACACAACTCAACTCAAGCCACGCTACAAATGTCCCAGAGCACCTTGTTCTTGTTATCGCTTCACTTTGCTTTGTTTCTGTTCGTTGTGTTGTTGTTGATGTCTGCTTGCTTTTTGTTGTTGTTGTTTTTGTTTTTTGTTTGTTTGTTTGTTTTTTGTGGTTCTGACTAGCCTCGAACTTGCTATGTAGCTCAGACTGGCTTCAAATTCGTAGCAATCCTCCTGCCTCAGCCTCCCTGCTATTGTGATTATAGATGTGTATCTCTATGGCTTGTACTATGATAGTCCATGGAGTACCCACATCCCAAGGAGGCCCTTTGGGAAGGATAAATGTCTCAATATGTCTTACTTCTGTCTGTAAAAAACTTGCTGTGTTCAGAATTCATGTTCTGCCTTAAAATTCATATGTTGAAACTTTAATCCTCAAAGTAATACTGTCTTAGGGAGATGATTGGTCCATGAAGATGGGCACTTGCAAACTGGTTTAGTGGCATTATGAAGAAACCTGAGGAACCCGCTTACCTCTCCCATCATGTAAAAATGCCTGTGTACAACTAGGAAGAGACTTGCACTGGACACTGTTTGCATTTAGAGACCTCATGAAGAAAAGGGAAGGCCAGACTCGCCATGCTCTTCCCCTTGGGTGAATGAATATTTACAATTTCATGCTCCATCCCCCTGTTTGGTGAAGCGTGGGGAACAATAGAGTGGAGGAGATAACTTGGCTCCTCGTGACACCAGTGAACTCTCACACTGTTTTGTAACGAAGCCAGACAACAGTTCCCTGAGAGGCGAAAGGATACTTTAGAGCAGTGTGAGAAGGGTGTGACCAGTAGGAGCTCCACGATGAAGGACACCTCCCTCCCTAGCTATGAGCTTTCAGATCCCTGGGGCTCTCACAATAGCACCTCTGATTTTGGCAAAGGCCCAGTTCAGTTTGACAAGAGGGTGAGATCCGTGAGCCCAACCCTAACGAAGAAAGAGCGTAGGTAAGGATGGAATGAAGGCGTGAAAGTGTGTTATACAAAACAACTCTGTTCACTCAATTTCTGTGAAAGGGCGATCCCCACCCCCTGACCCCCATCACTTGTCACTAACACTCCCACCACCTTCCAGTGCCTTCTCCATCCCATCATGACCACAGGAAACATCCAGCCAGGCATGGTATAAGCCAGGCTGAAAGAGATTACCCAGAGTCTTTGCTCTGGAACAAAGCACACCAAATGAAGCTGAAATCTGCAGTGGAAAGCAATGACTAACATATGGTGAGCAGACGTCAAACTCATAAAGAAAACATTTGGGAATCGTAAGCACAGAGATAGAAATGGTCTCCCTTTTATTCAGATTCAGCCCCCTTGTTCACAGATGTGGAAGGTGCAGGGATAGGTGCGAGACCGCTGGGCTCAAGACAGAGCTAGAGACCACAGCTGCTTCCTAATTCAGTTTCTTCCGAGTCTTCCCCGGTCACTTCACTTGTCTTGTCCTTGTCAAGCCTTGGAACAGATGGAGTTGTTCTGAGCTGGTGTAAAAAGGCCAGAGAACAGAGTGTGCTCTGCACCTCCCCAAACAATTCTGGTCTCTGCTTAGGAGCCCCCTAGAAGTCTCCATTGGGACCACCCCTCCCATCCCGAGCTGGACTTCACCCCACTGTGGTCTGCCAAAATGTTGTGTAATTTCTGCTAGAGCATCTCCGGGTCACACAAATCACAGCTCTTCCCATAAGTACTCAACAGCCCAGGAAATAAATAAACCGAGGATGCAAGTGGACATGAATGCAACGGTGGAAATGAGCCAAGCCAGCAGAGAATGATCAATATCACTTCAACAGAGAAGGAAAAAGGCTCTGCAAGGTTGGGAAGCTGATCATCAGGTTAGACCCAACCGCCTCTTTCTAGGTCCTAGGTCTCTTGGCCATGACCCAGGCTCAGCAATGGGTCTGATGGCCCTACATCGGCCTTTGTTTGCAGGCCAAAGGTGACTTTCTCTATTGTCACTGAGGTTCTTTCTACGCAAAATAAACAGTCTAGTTTCTGTGATACCTCTGTCAGTCATGTATCTCCAATTATATCTACACTCCTTTTTTTTTTTTTGGATGCAGGGATTACCATTACACATATGGCTCCTCTTGGCATTTCCTCAGTTCTCACTAATGCTTTTGCCATTCTCTCTTATATTTAATTTGATATCGTTTCTAGTTTTATGTTTTCCTTCAAAATATGTTTTCCTTCTATAGCATCTAGTATGCTATTGATTCCATTGAGAGTATTTTTATCCACATGTCTGGAAGTTCAAATTGGATACTTTTTTATTATAGTAAAACATCATAAAAATCACCATTTTATAAATCTCATTATCAGGGAAGGGCATTTAAGGTAGCCTTAATGCCAGTTGGTGTGATTCTTGTAGATCTCAGTATTTATACCTGGCACACAAATGGTCTTTGGGAGCCCATTCCACATGGAGGGATGCTCTCCCAGCCTGGACACATCCTAGGCCCTGCCTGGGATGATATGACAGACTTTGAAAATCCCCCATGGAAGGCCTCAACCTCCCTGGGGAGCGAAGGAGGGATGGTGTGGGGGGCTGGGGGATTGGGGAGGCAGGAGACAAGGAGAGGGAGAGGGAGCTGGGAGTAACATGTGTAAAAAGTTAAATAAAAGATTATTATTAAAAAATCACCATTTTAATCACTTTGGATGGGGTGTTCAGTAATGCTGCCTTTCCTATGATTATTAAAACACCGTTTTACCTTGCAAGACTGAAACAGTGTATTTTTAGAGATTATAATCTAATTACATCATTTCCCCTTTTCCCTTCCTCTCTCTAAACCTTCCCACATACTTTTTCTTGCTCTATTTCAAATTCATGGCCTCATTTCGTAGTAATTGTTGTTATATACATATGTCTTCCTCAATCAACCTGTCCGGTTTGTATAATGTTACCTCTCCGAACATGTTTTCAGGACTGATCATTTGGTGTTGGGTAACCTGTTAGTGTGCTCTTCTCTGGGGAAGACGAGTTCCCCCATTCTCAGTGTTCCTTAGTTGTCTGCAGTTCTTCGTGTAGTGCTGAGGCCTCGTGGGCTTTTCCCTGCCCACTTTGCCATGTCTACTGTTGTCCTTATTCAGCTGCTGTTTAGGCAGTCATGGTGAGACTTTGTGAATATAGCATATGACATTACTAGGTGATATAGTCTCATGGCACACTCCCTGATCCTGTGGCTTTTATAGCCCTTCTTCTACAATGTTCCCTGAACCTTAAGTTCAGGAGTTGTGTTCTAGACGGATCAGTTGGGACTGGCTCCACGGCTCAGCATTTTTATTAACTCTCAATGAAATTAATGACTTGGAAGTAATTTCTCCTCATTCAGAGGTTCATTTTCATTGTGATGACTATGTCCTTGGATAAGGAAAAATTTTGTTTCATGTAATCTCATTTGTCTCTTGCTGCTTTTTATCTCCTACGGGTTTGATGTCATAGTCAAGAAATAGTTGCTGTCCACATCTGGGTTTGATCCCTGGAACCTTACACAATAGAAGAAGAGAATTGACTCCTGCAAGTTGTCTTTCACATCCATGCCATGGCATGTGCCTAATGTGCCTACACACATACACACACACACACACACACACACACACGCACACACACGCCTATAAAAATGAAAAAATATAAAGAATTATTGCCAAATCTAACAAAAGCTTTGACCTATATTTTCTGCCTGGAGTTTCCTAACTCAAAGTTTGTTCCACTTTGCTCCATGTTGGGTTGCCTTTTCACTTAACTATCACGTGATACACAGCATCGCCAAGAATACTGAAGAAGTGTTTGGTTTATGTTCTCCCACTGAGTGGTCTTGGATACTGGCCTTGTGGATGCTGACCCCAACCTTCCCCCTAGAGACTGTTTGTCTTTAAGGTCTTATGGTTACTCTTTAGAGAGAGAAGTTCTGGTAAGTTACAAAGAAAACACAAAAATTAAAAAAAATTCACAGCAACCTTGAACACTACAAACATTAAATGGACATTAGAAGGCAGTCACTGACAACATGCCCCTTGCTTAGCTCGTTCCTCTGAATTGAAACATTCCATTCAGAGTGGGGAAGTTGACTTAGTGGATGAAAGTGCTTGTCACTCAAACCTGACTAACCGACTTTGGTTCCAGAACCCTAGGTTATCAGGAAGGAAAGAGCTCACTTCTACCTCCGAGTGTGCTCCATATCATGTGTGCCCACTCACACACCATACTTGGGCACTCTCATGCGTGCATATACGCAATAATAATAATAAATGAAATAATTTTTTAAAGACTTATGGTAACTACACGTAGGAAGCTCAAGAAGTTGAGATGTTCCCATTATACTTAAATACTAACCCATGTGTCTCATTCTTCTGTGTGTAGTTATTGTTATGAGTAGCAGTTACTGAGGGAGGGGCAGTCCTCCCCCTTCTGTATGTCTGGGCGTTCTTGCTGGAGGTTAGCTGATCGTGAATGTGTGTGTTGATTTCTAGGATATCTGTTTTGTTCTATTCTTCACATCTACTTTAATGCAGTTGCATGCTGGTAGTTACATGTGTGTATTTGGGTGTGTAGGTACATACATGTATGTATGGACCTTGTGTGTGTGTATGTACATGGTGGCCAGAAGATGACTTCAGGTGCCCATCTTCAGGACTATCCACTTTTCTGTTGTTGGGGGTAGGGTGTTGTTTTGCTTTGTAAAAGGTCTTGTGCTTATCTGGGACTTGCCAAGTAAGCTAGACTCTCTGATCAGCACAATGATACACCCATTCCACCTCTCTAGCACACTCAGTTATTATTTTTTTATGTGGGTTCTGGAGGCCAACTACACTGATGAGCTGTCTCCCCACTCACATACTGTTTTGATATCTGTAGCTTTGTAATACATTCTGGAATGAGGAAATGTGATGTCTCCAACTTTGTTCTTTCTTAAGATGGCTTTGGCTACTCAGTGTTGCAAAGTCCCGTGTGTATTGTAAGACATTTTCTTTATTTGTAAATAATTCTATTTCCTTGGAATTATGATATGGATTTCAAGAATCTACAGACTTTTTTGGTTGCTGTGGATATTTTTGCTTCATTCTCCTGGCATAGCCATATAACTCATGTTTCCTTATAGGAACAGGTGTGTTGAAAAATTTTATATTGTGTTGTTAAATCAAATATATCAAGGGTTGGGCACCTTCTGACAGTTAAGAGAAGTAAATAGCAATGGGCTAGAATATCACATATTTTATTTGTTCATAAAGGATAACAAGACGCTTATACTTTATATCCTGAGTCAGGTGGAATGGCACTGCTGACCAGCACTGTAGACCCTTCTAACATGCCCTGCGAACGTGAGAAGAGAACAAAAGCAACCTTCTCCTCTCTTCCTGAGGAGAAGTCGGGATGTCCCAACAGGGATTCCAAACTAGAGGCTTTCTATAGCACCATACTGAGTAAAGCAGCAATTGGAACTCTGAATCTCAGTTTTGGTGGGTGTTGATAGAGAAAGCCTGTTTTCAGAGAGGGCTGGGCAGAGTGTAGCGCTTGTTATCTGTGTTGTAATTCTCTCTGCACCTGAGTAAATTGAGGGACAGCACTGCAGATGATTATACAACGTGATTTATAAGTGATGTATACAAAGTCATTGAGCCCATTTTGCCACCAGGCATGTGTATCTTGGTGTGTCCTGTCCTGTTAAGTTTTAGTTTTCCCTACTTCCTTGACCTAAATAAGAGTTTATGATACTTTTTATTAAAGACTTTTGTGTGAACACAGGCAAAAGTTCCTTACGACCTGGCTAAGTAGCTTTCTAAAAAAGTCAGTTTTTTCATTGCTTCTCTTTTTTACACGTGTGTACACGAGCATGTTCACATGTGGGTGGTACATGTGTGTACATGAGCTTTTAGAGATCCCAAGGTCAATGTCGGTGTCTTTCCCAATTACTCACCTCCTTATATACGGAGGGAGTTGGGATATCTTGTTGAGCCATTGGTTCAGCTAATCTGGCTAGTCCTAGCTTTCTCTGGGGGAGTCTGTACCTCTGTCTCTTGACTGTGGGTGACAGGCAGGCAGACATGACCACCCAACTTTCAGTAGGCTTCTGGGGGTCCCAACTCCAGTCTTCAAGCTGGCCTAGCAAGTGCCATGAACCACTCCAGAGCCCCTTCATAACTTCTCTGAGATAATGTTTAACTGTATTTTCGTCTTGCCAATGAGTTAGTTGTTTTAAATCAATGTAATTCTATTTTAATTTGGTTTTCAGAGCATGACTCATAATATTTGCCTTTTGGAGATAGGAGTTGGGAGCCATCGTCCAGTTATGGAGTTTTGTAAGTCTTTCATAAATGTTCAAACCAGAAGATAGTATTTGGATAGAGTGTATGTAGTGAGACAACTTTTGCCTTATTAATACAAAATATTCTTTGTGTATCCAGCATGCACATGATTATGAACTTCATGGGCCATCTGGGACTCTTGTTAGAAAGTATGTCATACTTCAGTAGATCATGTGGGGCAGGCCTTGCTCCTCTCCATCTCTAGTAGGCTATGGGGTTAGGCCTACCTGTTGCTTCGAGAACCTCACTCATAATAGCAAGAACTTACCTGAGCCATTATTAGCTGTAGCTTGTCCACCCTCAGGAATGGCAGCCTTACTCTGTCCATTCCTCTCCCATAGATTGGATTGGCACTTCCAAAACCCTGCTGTTTGTTTCTCTCATTTCTCAATAATTCTAACTTTTCAAAGACAGCATCTCCTTTTGTCAATGGCCCTCTTTGTCAGGGTTCATGCTCCCTGAATAGTGCTCTACAGCCTGGAATGGCTCCCTTTTGTTTTTATTTGACTTTCTTCACTATATGCTCCACATATAATTGGTGCCAAATACATATCAATTGGATGGAATTGTTCTCTATTTTTGCTTTTGACCTTTGTCACTTTGTTTTGACAACCCCCCTCTCTAGCTGTCTCTCTCTCTCTGACTCAAAGGGGTCCTGATAACTTAAGTTTGTCCTCTAGATGGATGATCTGATA